AAAAATGTACTATATCTATTATATTATTTTATTTTAAATTATGAAATAATTTTACCTCTTAGATCTATATAATTCGAAGCTCCACACAATTGAAATACAATCTAAGACGAATATTTAGGCTCAAGCTTCTCGATGCTGTTATATAACCACTACCTTCATCGCTCACATCCGCCATGTGAAACTTTGAACAAAACAAATCAATCACCCAAGAACAAATACATAATATATATATATATGTGTGTGTATATATACATATACATATACACACACACATATATATATATATATAAATGTTTTTGTAGACTAAAACATTTCATTGTGGAACAGTCTCACTAGGATCCCTTAGACCTTTTTGATGATCTTAGCCAAAATGTCAAGAAACGTAGTAGAAAATTTATTTTTTAGTAGATGAGTTCCACCACGTTAAAATTTAAACACAACACAATAACAAAAAATATACTTGGCTGGAGAGTCAATTTGACAATATTCACCTTGGTAAGAGATTTTTGTCGGATATCTCCCAAGTCCCAAAAAAGAATTGGCTTAATATGAACTGCTGCACTCTTATCAAAACCACACTATTAGAAATAGGTGCTTAAGGCCATGTGACATTCAGGTTCCACTAAACCGGCTATATTTACCATGGCAGTGTACTGCCAGGGTAGGGAGGGGGCGGGAGGGGGGGCTGGGGTGGGAGGCCAAGGGTGGGACTAGGGTGGGGGGTTTAGTGGGAGGGTTAGGGGGTAGGAATCGTCGTTTTTACAAACGGAGCACTGTAGGTACCCCAAATGAACCGGTGTAAGCAATATATATATATATATATATAATGTTTTTGTAGAGTAAAACATTTAATTGTGGAACAGTCTCACTTGCATCCCTTAGACCTTTTTGATGATCTTAGCCAAAAGGTCAAGAAATGTAGTAGAAGATTTATTTTTTAGTAGATGAGTTCCACCACGTTAAAATTTAAACACAACACAATAACAAAAAATATACTTGGCTGGAGAGTCAATTTGACAATATTCACCTTGGTAAGAGATTTTCCTATTTATTAACCTCTTTCATGTCCTATTTGATGACAGGGTTCATGCCGAGTCTTCTTTATTGGCTGGAGCTTGGCGGTACTTTCAAGGCAATTGCGTTTTACTGTCTTGTTTTTTGTTGTGGTTCTAAATACTATCAAATTGTATGAGCAGCAGGACAGATTTACTTCAACAACAGACAACATAGTATACAACTAAATCCTACAACACAAACGGTAACAAAATGCACATTCACCATTTTAAACAATTTAAGAAACACAAAAAAAACACAAAATACTCCACAACACCATTAACGCTTCCCTATTGCAGGTACTCTTGCTGGAGAGGACTGCTGGACGCATACTACCCAATAAATCAGGTACTGAAAACGTTAATAGATGAGTTCCACCACGTTAAAATTTAAACACAACACAATAACAAAAAATATTACATATATGCTTGGCTGGAGAGTCATTTTAACAATATTCACCTTGGTAAGAGATTTTCCTATTTATTAACCTCTTTCATGTCCTATTAGATGACAGGGTTCATGCCGAGTCTTCTTTATTGGCTGGAGCTTGGCGGTACTTTCAACAAAATGGAAATTTCAACGCCTCCACCGATCAACAAAATGGAAATTTCACCATGTACCGGTATTGGTTTTCCTCTTTTTGTCGGATATCTCCCAAGTCCCAAAAAAGAATTGGCTTAATATGAACTGCTGCACTCTAATCAAAACCACACTATTACAAATAGGGGCTTAAGGCCATGTGACATTCAGATTCCACTAAACCGGCTATATTTACCATGTCAAACGCCACAGACAATGGTTGGTCTTCATTCTTAAAGCCTGTTAATGTCATATTCATTCCTTTTGTACTTATTCACAATTTTTAAACATTGGAATAACTTAATGCACCCCGGAAATTGGTTGTTGGGTTAGGTTCTGGGTAGGGATTTTGTTTCTTACTTTGGGGATTGGACCTGATTTTGGGTTTGGTTTTGGGTTAGGTTCTAGGTTGACTTTTAACTTTAGTGTTTGACAATCAAATTTTCCTTAGGTTTGCGGGTACAATCCGTTGGATTTTAATATTTAGGTCAGACTCTAGGTCGTGTTTTGAGTTAAGGCAATTGCGTTTTACTGTCTTGTTTTTTGTTGTGGTTCTAAATACTCTTAAATTGTATGAGCAGCAGAACAGAATTACTTCAACAACAGACAACATAGTATACAACGAAATCCTACAACACAAACGGTAACAAAATGCACATTCACCATTTTAAACAATTTAAGAAACACAAAAAAAACACGAAATACTCCACAACACTATTAACGCTTCCCTATTGCAGGTACTCTTGCTGGGTAGGACCGCTGGACGCATACTACCCAATAAATCAGGTACTGAAAACATTAATAGATGAGTTCCACCACGTTAAAATTTAAACACAACACAATAACAAAAAATATTACATATATACTTGGCTGGAGAGTCAATTTGACAATATTCACCTTGTAAGAGATTTTCCTATTTATTAACCTCTTTCATGTCCTATTTGATGACAGGGTTCATGCCGAGTCTTCTTTATTGGCTGGAGCTTGGCGGTACTTTCAACAAAATGGAAATTTCAACGGCTCCACCGATCAACAAAATGGAAATTTCACCATGTACCGGTATTGGTTTTCCTCTTTTTGTCTGATATCTCCCAAAAAAGAATTGGCTTAGTATGAACTGCTGCACTCTAATCAAAACCACACTATTACAAATAGGTGCTTAAGGCCATGTGACATTCAGATTCCACTAAACCGGCTATATTTACCATGTCAAACGCCACAGACAAGGGTTGGTCTTCATTCTTAAAGCCTGTTAATGTCATATTCATTCCTTTTGTACTTATTCACAATTTTTAAACATGGGAATAACTTAATGCACCCCGGAATTTGGTTGTTGGGTTAGGTTCTGGGTAGGGATTTTATTTCTTACTTTGGGGATTGGACCTGATTTTGGGTTTGGTTTTGGGTTAGGTTCTAGGTTGACTTTTAACTTTAGTGTTTGACAATCAAATTTGCGTTAGGTTTGCGGGTCCAATCTATTGGATTTTAATATTTAGGTCAGACTCTAGTTCGTGTTTTGAGTTAAGGCAATTGCGTTTTACTGTCTTGTTTTTTGTTGTGGTTCTAAATACTATTAAATTGTATGAGCAGCAGGAGAGATTTACTTCAACAACAGACAACATAGTATACAACGAAACCCTACAACACAAACGGTAACAAAATGCACATTCACCATTTTAAACAATTTAAGAAACACAAAAAAAACGCGAAATACTCCACAACACCATTAACGCTTCCCTATTGCAGGTACTCTAGCTGGACAGGACCGCTGGATGCATACTACCCAATAAATCAGGTACTGAAAACATTAATAGATGAGTTCCACCACGTTAAAATTTAAACATAATACAATAACAAAAAATATTACATATATACTTGGCTAGAGAGTCAATTTGACAATATTCACCTTGGTAAGAGATTTTCCTATTTATTAACCTCTTTCATGTCCTATTGGATGACAGGGTTCATGCCGAGTCTTCTTTATTGGCTGGAGCTTGGCGGTACTTTCAACAAAATGGAAATTTCAACGCCTCCACCGATCAACAAAATGGAAATTTCACCATGTACCGGTATTGGTTTTCCTCTTTTTGTCGGATATCTCCCAAAAAAGAATTGGCTTAATATGAACTGCTGCACTCTAATCAAAACCACACTATTACAAATAGGTGCTTAAGGCCATGTGACATTCAGATTCCATTAAACCGGCTATATTTACCTTGTCAAACGCCACAAACAAGGGTTGGTCTTCATTCTTAAAGCCTGTTAATGTCATATTCATTCCTTTTGTACTTATTCACAATTTTTAAACATGGGAATAACTTAATGCACCCCGGAAATTAGTTGTTGGGTTAGTTTCTGGGTAGGGATTTTGTTTCTCACTTTGGGGATTGGACCTGATTTTGGGTTTGGTTTTGGGTTAGGTTCTAGGTTGACTTTAACTTTAGTGTTTGACAATTAAATTTGCGTTAGTTTTGCGGGTACAATCCGTTGGATTTTAATATTTAGGTCAGACTCTAGGTCGTGTTTTGAGTTAAGGCAATTGCGTTTTACTGTCTTGTTTTTTGTTGTGGTTTTAAATACTATCAAATTGTATGAGCAGCAGGACAGATTTACTTCAACAACAGACAACATAGTATACAACGAAATCCTACAACACAAACGGTAACAAAATGCACATTCACCATTTTAAACAATTTAAGAAACACAAAAAAAACATGAAATACTCCACAACACCATTAACGCTTCGCTATTGCAGGTACTCTTGCTGGACAGGACCGCTGGACGCATACTACCCAATAAATCAGGTACTGAGAACATTAATAATTCCAAAGAAAAAAAATCCAAACAAATAAACAATAGAACAAAGATATTTGTTATGCAACCTTTTTGAGGTTTAACTTCCTTTGATTGATTAACAGGTTGGTATTTCAATGGATACTCAATTACTGGGTGAAAACGTAGTGATCCGAGAGACTAAGGGTATCTACATTTTACGACAATACCAGAGACTAGAAGAAGCGTGTAACAATGTCATCTTGTGAGTCACTAAGATCGTTTCTTAATTTTTATAATTGCACTCTCTCATGGATTTAAACTAAATCAATCATGAACTTGATCATCATATTAGTGAGTTGAACTTTCTTGTTTTACTGGATTGAGTGATACGCTACGAAAAAATTAGGTTTGTTACTTTTTCCCGAATTTCAAACTCTTTTCCTAATTATTGATGGATACACTGAATTTGATATCTCCCTTGCATGATTGATGGATACACCAAATTTGATATCTCTCGTGCATGGTTGATGGATACACTAAATTTCATATATTTGCTCTGTGTATAAATCTAACCCTCTGTTGTTTGTTCGTAGTCTGCGCATTCTAAGGCTGAGATTAGCTAGGCAAGGTTGATCAAAGAGGTGTGAAAATTTCATGCAGTAGTAAGGTATGCATACCCCCATCCCCCGACCCCGTTTGTGTGATTTTACTCGTATGGTGTTCTTGTTATTCAACTCGGTCTATCTTTTGTTTTTTGGGGCCTCAAATCATCAATCTGGTTTTTAATTCATTGTGGTTAAAAAAACAGCAGTAGGCTTCATATTCTTGGCTGTGTGCCTGTCCATTTTGGATATTTACATACTCTCTAAAGACTGGTCTTCAAAACCAGGAGGCTAAAGTTTGAATCTTTGTTTTGTAGTGATGTTTATGTTTAGCTTATACTCCCAAAAAAACTTACTTTCTTTTTTCGTTTGTCCTAAAATAAAGTTCCCATTCTATTTAAGGAAAGCATTGACTAGACATTATTTTTCTCTTCTGTGCGTACATTTTCACTTTTTTTTCAACTTGTGTTAAACTCCGTGAAAAAGATGTGAAGTTTAGTATGGTTCAAAGGAAGTGTTTCGATATATGTTTCACTTTCACACCTGTTGAGTCTCAAATTAACTAAAGAAATGATGTTCATCCTATTTGCAGAGAGTGTGGACTTGAAGTGCAAGCTGTAGGGATATGGCTTTCAGGGTAGCCACACTATGGAGCTGCTGGGACAACGGAAAAAACATAGGACCCACATCCGGCTTCCATAACTTTGCTCACACCATTGCACAACCAATTCCAATGGACAGCATCATCTTCGGCAATCAGGAAAGGATTGAAGGGAACATTGCTTACAGATTCCAAGATATCACTTTCTTCAATGGGTCTATGGAACTAATGGCCGTCCCTAAAAAGAAGCTTCATCCTCTATCAACTTCCTTAACATGACAATTAATTTTGAACACACTGAAATTACCATTACATAACCTTTTCAAATTGCTAAAGCAGGTTACTCGTCACAAGAGTTACTCCAAAGCTATTGCCAATGAATCGCAGGTTACTCGTCACAAGAGGGGGGATACGAAATGGACCAAAGGCTCTGAAACCTCAACCTCTGATAATCCGCTGCACGTAAGTACTTTCAATATCTCATTGCACCCAAAATTGAATGCCCCCCTGCCATGAAAAAGAACGACAATCCCAGTAAAACCCCACGAAAGTAGGGTTTGGAGAGGGTGATATGTATCCAAAACTCACCCCTACTTGGAAGTATGCCTATAAACTATCAAACACATTACCACACTTGTTCTGTTGTGGCGGGATTCGGCAAGAGGCAGCGCAGTAGAGGGAGAGGATGATGAAATAGGGAGTGGATATGCACTTTTCGTTGCTGAACCAGCACTTTGAGTGAACCATTAGCAAACAGTTCAAAGTCCGATTTTTTTAAAATATTAAAACTACACTTTTTCTTTGAAGATTTGCCATTGGTGTTGTGTTCAAATGGTTTGTTTAGTCGAAAAATCTTCAAAGTATTAGCTTTGTTTGACTTGTCATAATGTAAAACAGGTTACATATTTGCAAGATCATCATATTCACTTGAATAAGACGTAAGGTACATAATATTAACACCACAGCCCTCTCTTATAATTGGGTCTGGGTTGGCCCAACAACTTATGACTTCATTTTTAAAAATTTCAGGTTACTTCGGGTTCGGACTACTTCATGTTCGGGTCAATGCGGGTTCAAGTAGAGAACTATATGTTCATCACCATTATCATTCGGTTACAGGTCATGACTTTGATTTTAAACAAATTTTAAGTTCATATTAACACTTGCATTTTTCTTTAAGTAAAATTAAAATATCAAAAAAAAATGTACTATATCTATTATATTATTTTATTTTAAATTATGAAATAATTTTACCTCTTAGATCTATATAATTCGAAGCTCCAAACAATTGAAATACAATCTAAGACGAATATCTAGGCTCGAGCTTCTCGATGCTGTTATATAACCACTACCTTCATCGCACACATCCGCCATGTGAAACTTTGATCAAAACAAATCAATCACCCAAGAAAAAAAACATAATATATATATATATATATATATATATATATATATATATATATAATGTTTTTGTAGACTAAAACATTTCATTGTGGAACAGTCTCTCTAGGATCCCTTAGACCTTTTTGATGATCTTAGCTTTTTAGTAGATGAGTTCCACCACGTTAAAATTTAAACTGTCCTATTTGATGACAGGGTTCATGCCGAGTCTTCTTTATTGGCTGGAGCTTGGCGGAACTTTCAACAAAATGGAAATTTCAACGCCTCCACCGATCACCCAAATGGAAATTTCACCATGTACCGGTATTCGTTTTCCTCTTTTTGTCGGATATGTCCCAAAAAAGAATTGGCTTAATATGAAGTGCTGCACTGTAATCAAAACCACACTATTACAAATAGGTGCTTAAGGCCATGTGACATTCAGATTCCACTAAACCGGCTATATTTACCATGTCAAACGCCACAGACAAGGGTTGGTCATCATTCTTAAAGCCTGTTAATGTCATATTCATTCTTTTTGTACTTATTCACAATTTTTAAACATGGGAATAACTTAATGCACCCCGGCAATTGGTTGTTGGGTTAGGTTCTGGGTAGGGATTTTGTTTCTTACTTTGGGGATTGGACCTGATTTTGGGTTTGGTTTTGGGTTAGGTTCTAGGTTGACTTTTAACTTTAGTGTTTGATAATCCAATTTGCATTAGGTTTGCGGGTACAATCCGTTGGATTTTAATATTTAGGTCAGACTCTAGATCGTGTTTTGAGTTAAGGCAATTGCGTTTTACTGTCTTGTTTTTTGTTGTGGTTCTAAAGACTATCAAATTGTATGAGCAGCAGGATAGATTTACTTCAACAACTGACAACATAGTATACAACGAAATCCTACAACACAAACGGTAACAAAATGCACATTCACCATTTTAAACAATTTAAGAAACACAAAAAAACACATGAAATACTCCACAACACCATTAACGCTTCGCTATTGCAGGTACTCTTGCTGGACAGGACCGCTGGACGCATACTACCCAATAAATCAGGTACTGAAAACATTAATAATTCCAAAGAAACAAAATCCAAACAAATAAACAATAGAACAAAGATATTTGTTATGCAACCTTTTTGAGGTTTAACTTCCTTTGATTGATTAACAGGTTGGTATTTCAATGGATACTCAATTACTGGGTGAAAACGTAGTGATCCGAGAGACTAAGGGTATCTACATTTTACGACAATACCAGAGACTAGAAGAAGCGTGTAACAATGTCATCTTGTGAGTCACTAAGATCGTTTCTTAATTTTTATAATTGCACTCTCTCATGGATTTAAACTAAATCAATCATGAACTTGATCATCATATTAGTGAGTTGAACTTTCTTGTTTTACTAGATTGAGTGATACGCTACATAAAAATTAGGTTTGTTAGTTTTTCCCAAATTTCAAACTTTTTTCCCAATTATTGATGGATACACTCAATTTGATATCTCCCTTGCATGATTGATGGATACACCAAATTTGATATCTCTCGAGCATGGTTGATGGATACACTAAATTTCATATCTTTGCTGTGTGTATCAATCTAACCCTATGTTGTTTATTCTTAGTCTGCGCATTCTAAGGCTGAGATTAGCTAGGCAAGGTTGATCAAAGAGGTGTGAAAATTTCATGCAGTAAGGTATGCATACTCCCATCCCCCGACCCCGTTTATGTGATTTTACTCGTATGGTGTTCTTGTTATTCAACTCGGTGTATCTTTTGTTTTTTGGGGCCTCAAATCATCAATCTGGATTTGAATTCATTGTGGTTAAGAAAACAGCAGTAGGCTTCATATTCTTGGCTGTGTGCCTGTCCATTTTGGATATTTACATACTCTCTAAAGACTGGTCTTCAAAACCAGGAGGCTAAAGTTTGAAACTTTGTTTTGTAGTGATGTTTATGTTTAGCTTATACTCCCAAAAAAAACTTACTTTCTTTTTTCGTTTGTCCTATAATAAAGTTCCCATTCTATTTAAGGAAAGCATTGACTGGACATTATTTTTCTCTTCAATGCGTACATTTTTACTTTTCTTTCAACTTCTGTTAAACTCCGTGAAAAAAATGCGAAGTTTAGTATGGTTCAAAGGGAGTGTTTCGATATATGTTTCACTTTCACACCTGTTGAGTCTCAAATTAACTAAAGAAATGATGTTCATCCTATTTGCAGAGAGTGTGGACTTGAAGTGCAAGCTGTAGGGATATGGCTTTGAGGGTAGCCACACTATGGAGTTGCTGGGACAACGGAAAAAACATAGGACCCACATCCGGCTTCCATAACTTTGCTCACGCCATTGCACAACCAATTCCAATGGACAGCATCATCTTTGGCAATCCCATAGCGCCAATAAAGACCCAGATTGCAAATCAGGAAAGGATTGAAGGGAACATTGCTTACAAATTCCAAGATATCACTTTCTTCAATGGGTCTATGGAACTAATGGCCGTCCCTAAAAAGAAGCTTCATCCTCTAACAACTTTCTTAACATGACAATTAATTTTTAACACGCTGAAAGTACCATACTACCATTACATAACCTTTTCAAATTGCTAAAGTAGGTTACTCGTCACAAGAGTTACTCCAAATATTTCAAAAGAAAATACATATAATTCAATTACAATAAATGAAAACAATAATAAACAATAACCTTAAATACAAAACATCCTTCAGACTCCAAATAAAACACACAATACCTTCTACACATTTGAATCACATTTACTTCATTAAGATACTAATTACATTACATTCTTGACCGGCATTAACTTTTATAACTACTAACAATACAAAACTAACATGAACCAAAATATTAATTAAAACATTGTTTCCTATTACATCACACTCAATGTTAATAGGGTACAAAACAAACACAACTGTTTCTAAGCACAAAACTTCAATTCAATAAAAACAAGAACAAAGGGGGGACGCAAAATGCAAAGCAACACAAAAACAACAAAACTACGACAACAAACACCAACATCCGCTGGTAAGTCTATCTCCCATATAACCACAAACTGTTCTATGGGTATATAACTTGCTATACACATACATTTCCTATCCTTACATCAAAGTACTTTTATTCTTTACTATGCGCATAACATTTCCATTCTAAAAAGAAAAAAACACAAAACTTTAATCCCCTCTTACATAACATCACATTAAAAACCAAAACTCTCCCTTCAATGTACATATTTAAGTAAATTCAACTAAATTCTCCGCTTCACAAAAAAACATTATGTCACCCTTTTTTTTGTAAAAAACAAAAAACAACAAAAACAAAAACTACACAAACATGATTACACATTAGTACAATACATTTAAAATCATACAACCCCTAACATTACTACGTTTTGCAGATAATGGAGGATGACAAACAACTTCGCATCTCTTACAAAACAATCCTTTCCCACATCCTAAAACAATTACATCTACCAAAGGCACATTACACCCATGAAACGAAAGAGAGAAATCAGCATTACTACACCAAGCAATAGGGAGCAATGAAAATGGAATGAAAATTCCAATTATAGGGAATGAAAATGGAAGATGGAATGAAAATTCCAATTATAGGGAGCAATGAGACGAAAAATGGTGCAAACCAAGATGCAACTTGACAAGCAATAGTCCTTCTCAGAGATGCATTTGGATATACAGTAACCGGACTCAATTTGTTGGTAATAGTAACAATTACACACCAACAATTCCTTACACAAAATAAAAAACCCATAATAACACATATATATAATGTCCGCACACCAACAGGTTGATGTAACAACAGGAAGGAATCTGTTTTCCTCCACTAACACTTACAAAACTACAGTTCTACACCAACCTCAAATCCGAAAATCAAGTCCGGAAAGAATCAAGTCCGCATTTGAAGTCCGGAACTGCCTATAAAAGAAGACCAACTCCACTAGTAGAAGAGAAAAAAGGAAAAATCTCCGATTTTAGTTCTTCATATTTCCATCCAAAATATCCATTGTAAATTTAATATTTCCACAAGATCAAAGATTTTAACCAGTACAAATCAAGCTTGTAACCAGTTCTGATCAATAATATCAAATTATCAAATCATCTCCTGCAATTAATTTGTAAGTTTATTGTTATTTCTTCTTTCATTCCAATTATTATTGTCATTCCATTTATTATTTCATTTTGTAGTTCCATTATTATCACCATGTCTTCCTTTGATTTAATATTCTCTGGGTTCGTTTTGGTATCAGAGCCATTAACCTGGTAAATACATATTAATTTTTTGAGATCGAAAGTGTGTCACGAAAGTTGTAAGACTCGCAGTGAGGTTGTAAGACGAGCATAGGAGTAGAGAAGGAAGTGTATCCGAAGGTCTCAAACGATTAAGATGAATTTATTTGGAAGTAGTAGAACTCTAATCACCCGGAAGAACTTATGGAAGATTTAAACATAAGGATAAGTGAGAATAATGAAAATACAAATAGCACAATTTTATCTAGAGAAGTTACTTGGGATGATCAAAAATTAACAAATTGGAAACCACCATCTTTGCCAATAACAGAAGTTTATAAAAAAGGAATTTTGGATTTTAAATCAATTAGAGCCATTAAGACAAAAGAACAAGTTGTGCCATTATTTTTTGACAATCAAAACATGAGTTTATTTTCTAAAAAGTTTATAATAAAATATTTGAAACAAGGATACAAATTTTTACATATAGGATTAGTTCAAGTAGCAATTAAGCCATTAACAGTTGAAGGTTTAAACACTAGTATTCATGTAGCATTAAGAGACTGTAGGCATGTAAATTACCAAGATTCTATTTTAGGATTAGTAGAGACAAGTTTAACTAATGGACCAATTTATTTTAATTGTTTTCCAAATTTTACAATATCACTTACATACCCGCATATTATGAAGATTTTAATGTTAGATAATTTATCACACAACTACCACATGTTACCAGGATCTCACATATATGAAGTATTTTATAGATTACACTATAGAGTTATGAACACAGGCCTCTGTCCCAACGCAATAAACCATAATAACCAAACAGGACAAACAGTATTTTGGGAAATAGATCAAAATAAAGCCAATCTTACGGTACCAAAGACCATAAACTGGAAAGATGTTATTTTACCAGAAAAATGGATATACCCATCTAGACCTGTCCCTAGGATACAACCAAAAGAAAACAAAGAAATTGATCACATCATTCAATATGAAGATGGATCAGTAGAACTTAAGTTTAAAAGAACCAATTCTTTAGATCATTCAACCACAAGAACCTACCAACCATCTACGAATTCCATTTCAACAGAAAAACATTTTTATAAAAATGAGGAATCCCCATCAGAATCTGTAACGTCAAATAAACCAAGTCAAGGATTATTTAGTGAAACAGAAGCCTCTAACCAAACCTCTAGAACCCAATTTAATACATAAGGAATTCATATAGAAGGAATGTTTACACATCCTTACGAAGATAGTGAGTTTACAATAAATACCTTGAAACAGCCATTCGTTTTAGACAAAACCAAATTACAATCGGAATTCATAAAAGATGAAAACAAGGAAAATAGAGAATTATTTTAAAACACATATAACAAGGAAGGAAGAGAAATAATAATAAAGAATATTATGAATTTTGCATACAATTAGAAGATCATGTACCATTTTTTTGAGTTTTTAGAAAATGATTATTTATACAAAGTAAGTACAATTACAAAAAGAATAGACAAATTCAAGACCAAATGGTGGCCCAAGACAGATTTAGAAGGCTGCAACAAAAAAGCAGCTGACAAATTCTTCAAAAATTCAACTCAGTATTGCAAAAAACCAAGCTAGGAGATCGTAACCAAGAGTGAAATTTTTCAGGCGAAAAAGAGACAAATTATGTCAAAACTAGCAGCGTGCAAATCAGATGATGAATGTGACAAAATTCTAGCAGAACTCAAGGAAACCAGTAGTGCCGGGAGTTCCATTCAAATTGACAACTCTGCAGAAGAAAATGACGATTTTTTCTCCCAAGCTGAGTTGTAACAAGATGATGATGTGACAAATGTAGTGCTCTATCAAATAGTAGTGCTCCACGCCTCCACCAAGTGCTCCACTCACCGACAAAGTGCTCCTGAGTCTAACATAGCTATTCCTTTTAATTCAAAGTCTTTTATTTTTAAATTTATCTCAACATACCATTTCTGAAATCTAATTCGTGTTATCTCATTAGAAATCATCTTAAATAGGACTAAAACATAGAGAAAAGTACCAAAATAGGACTTTCATGTTTTTTTTTCGGAATAAGACTTTGCATTGTGGTAATGTGACTTTGCATTGTGGTAATGTGACAGTGTACATGTGCAAATTACTATACCTTTTTGGTAATGTATGTGACCATGTTTGGTAATGTAAGTCCTATTTTGGGAATAAAAACATGGAAGTCCTATTTTGGTATATTTTTAATTTTTAGTCCTACTTTGGTCTTTCTTCCTTATCTCATTTAGTTTGAATTCTTAATTTGTTTCTTGTTCTCTTTCATGGTCAGAACTACTTTTGCTAGAATTGGATAATGTTTCTTTTATTTTTTCTAATGCTATTTCTCTTTTTAATTTTTCGTGGTTATTTTCTATTTCTTCACACCTTTGTTTTATTTGTCTAATTTCTAATTTTAATTCTCTTACTTCATTTTGTAAGTCTAGAGATGAAATATTTTTATTTGTCTTTTTATTTCCAAACATATTTTCAATGTCTTCAAAATTTGTTGGTTTAGCTAGGTCTTCCTGTGTTTCTTTATTAATAATCTTTGCTAATTGTTTTAAAAATTTTCTTTTTAGTTCAGGGTTTTCAACTTGTTCAATTTTTTCAAAGATCGTGTTGTAGTCTGTTAGAACATTTAATTTGTTATTGCAAAAACAAACTCCATCACTACATTCACATTTACTACTTTCACTGGTTCCTGTTTCTGAAGAACTAGAGTAATCTTCTTCTAATTCTGATGACGAAATTTTTATTTGGTCTATCTTTTGAATTAATTGATCAGTTTCTTTTATTCCTAATTCTAGGCATATTTCTTGAATTCTTTTCTTTGCTGGGCAATTTTTGGCATAATGTCCTTTTTGTTTGCATAAATAACAAGTTCCTTCTTGAATATTTCTTTTCTGTTTTGTTTTAAATGGCTTTTTCTTTTTGTAAAACTTTGGTTGTGGAAGATTATGTTGTTGGTTATATCTTCTTTTTCGATGCTTTTTATATGTATTTTGGTATGATTTGTAAGGTGATTTATAAGGTTTAAATTTTCTTTTATTTGGTCCTTGTATTCTACCGAATCCAAATTGTTCACACCAATGTCCTAATTCTTTCTTTGTTTGTCTACTCTCTTGTCTCATTTTATTTTGAAGTCTAATGTCTCTACATAATCTTAATCCAGTAAGATTAACACATGTTATTAAATATCTATATGTTAAGTCATCATATGATATATGGCCAAATCTTTGTTCTATGGTTTCTCTAACTTTTGCTGCAAATAAGCTTGGTAATCCAGTTATAAATTTTTCTTTCCAATGATAGGCATTTGGGTCTGATAAAGAAAATACTCTTTTAAGAAAGTTTTCTTTATACCATTTAAAATTTTCTAATTTTCTGCATTTTAAGTTTTGTAAAATCTCACTGTTTCGTTCTGTATATAAATCTAAATCTCCAATAAAATGAGTAATAATATAGTATACTAAATATGCTAAAGCTGCTGACTGTGGTTGACCTCTATCGTCTACGACTACTTGTCCTTGTGCATCTGTTTTTATTGCATTTACAATTTTTTCTTGCATATTAGTACTTAATAGTTTGTCCCACCATGTTCTTAGTTCTCCAGTAAATCCTAAAACTATATTTTCTGCTTCATCTTTTTCTGTAATTCCTACTTTTTGTTTATATATATTTCCTACAATTACCATTTCTTTTGTCATCTGTATTATTTCAATTTCAGATAAATCATCTAAATTCCATTCATAAATATTTTTAGCATTATATTGTTTTTGTCTTTTGTTTAATATTTTAAGATCATCTGGTTGCTTTCTAGTAACTACTTGCCTTTCTAAGGTGTTTAAAGGTATTTCTAAATTATCATCTGATCTTGAAGATTGGTCAAATGGATCAAAGGGATTAATTTCAGTTTCTGAGTTTGAGGAGGATGGAGTATTATATTCAGATAAAATTGTCACTTTATTTTTACCTGTTTCTCTTGAGGTAGTAGATTCTGCTGTGGCAGAATACTCTGGTTGGTCCATTCTAAGTTTGGATAGTGATTCCTTAATTCTTCCGGATATTTGTTCTTCTATTGTTTTTTGTAAATCTTTATCCAAAGAATGTAAGTCTTCATTAACTATTTTTGGTGTTATTGCGGTTATAAAAAATGGGTTAGAAGGGGAAGGTAGAACTTTCTCATATTGCCTGTATGCTTTGTTTTCTGAAGTTATATTGTATTCATTTGTAAATGTTTGGAATTTTCTTGACTTAGGCTCCGTTCCGTTCAACTTAGTTAATTCATATATTAGAATAATCATTCATATTATAATGTAATAATATTTTTTATTTTATGATAATTTTTTTGTAGAATTATACATTAGAATAAATATTTAATTTAGATATACATTTAAAAGTAATTAAATTTAGATAATCAATATATAGAAGAGATAATATTTTTATTAAAAAATCTCATCTTTATAAAAGATCAAAAGTTTAAAAACTGAAATTACAAGTGGCAATAAAAATATATTTTAAAAGTAGAATTAGATTGACATTGTCAATGTATTTTAAAACTAATTTTTCTAACGTCTAATAATTAAGGATTACTTTCTCAGTTTTCTATTTAACCTATTTCTAAAGTTTATTCTTTTTCATTTTTAAGAACAATAA